TGTTATTAATACTGCTTACTATAAAACAGAGCAGTTACTTAAATATTTGTATCTATAAAAAAGAAAGAAGATATAAACATAAAAATGTCTTAAAATAATACTTTTTCCTGAAGAAAATAAGTGACTTTTAAAAGAGCCGTTATTATTTAATCTTTGTCTTTTCTTTATAATTTTTACTTCATCTAGAAAGTTATTTAGATAGTCTCCCAACATTTTTTTTGTATCGAATTAAAGGCAAATCTTCCTCTCATTTTCGAAATGGATTGAATGCAATAAATTCACATAAACTTTTATGAAATGAATCCAAAGGACCTCGTCGTAAACTTATAAAAATTTTGTCGGGATTCTGTATCCAATTTTAAACTCATATATGAATATATTTGATTGTCTAATGTTCTCTGTGATCCTTGTAATATCTGAAGTGTTGCACAAGTTCGACGACGATTCCCTTCTTTTTCCCAACGTTTCTTCTGATCTAGTTACATCAAGGATTTAGCAATTAAGAGTCTAATAACGCTCTCTAGATCTTCACTTGAGAAGATGGCGGCTTTGGAAATGAACCGTTGGGGGAACTCAGAATCAATTTAAAAATGTAATTATTTCTTCATCAACCTGGAATCAGAACTGTTTCAGTCGACTAAATTAGTTTTGCTGGTCTGTAATTTTGCGACAGACGATTCAACGAGAACCAAGGCAGTTGAGTGAGTCAAAAAACATTTGGCATGACCATTGAAAAGGAGGTGCTGAAAACTTCATGGCTCGATCCACTTTCTAATATCTTATGAAAGGATAAAATATTTCAGCCAAATCTCATGCTCCCTAAAGGATTGAATACAGTTATACTTGTGTATATACAACCACACAGTCACATAAATAGACAGATAATGAACAGAACGTGATAGATAGATAGATAGATAGATAGATAGATAGATAGATAGATAGATTATCAGTTATGTCCTATGCATGATACATGCTAAGGCAATCATGTATGTTTCGATTGACTGACGAGGCAGATTTTTCCTGCAGTAGTTTTCTATTTCTTCATGCGGTAGACTAGTTGCCATTCTAGACTATAGAACCTGGGCTATAGCTGGGGGGGGGAGAAGAAAATATCTTTCCTAATGGTATTAGCACGTAAGTGAATGTAAGGGATTCGAGTGGAATTCGAACTCAGCTTTCCGATTCCTCAATCCTAGTACTTGTTCTTTTTTATGTGTCGTGTCCTTTCAGGATATAGGTGAACATGGCCCTCCACAGTTTCCTGCATTATAACTTTAAATCATTTTTTTGTTCCCTATAATCCATCCTAAACCCAACACTGATGTTCATTTAAATTAACTTCTTAGGCACCTTTATATGTGTAATATGAGATATGAGGTTTAATAAGACACACCCTATTATTAATTTCGCATATTTGGAGACTTTAAATGATTTTTCCTCTTCTCCTTTATAATTTAATTCTGATATATATATATATATTGTCTGATGAAACTTAGATGATATTTGCCCATATAAATATATGCATGTCCTGGAAAATTTACCAACATCACTTTTTGGGAATAGACTGACTTGCATCATAATGTATGACATTCCACACTTTCATATATTTACATCAGATCCGCAACACAGTAATAATCAGTATCTTAAATTCTGTTTGAAAACGAGACATTTTTACTCTACTAACTGGATTAGACGAAGTCCATTTCATTTTAACGGATAAATACATACAAGAAAAACATTTCGTGGATTTATAACTTTTCAAAATTCAAACAAAATTTTCACTTGATCCATTTGAACACGAACTCTTGTGTCGCGACATCGTACACTCTAAAACCTCTCAATAAATAGACTAAATAAAAAAAAATCTGTCGGTTTACACATATTTAGTCTTAGTATTTGACTATATATATAAGAAAATTACGCCCTGAAGATGCCAATTTGAAATTGTCGAAAGTACTTGGCATGTCTCTTCCATCTGACAACAACTCGAATATAAGGATTTTATTATTGACTGTACAAAGTCAGCACACTCAAGCCCTCGGCCACGATGACTTGTGGTCACAAGTCATATATATATATATTAAAGACATTTTTATGTTTAACGTTCTTTTTTATAGATACAAGTATTTAAGGAAAATGCTCTGTTTATAATAAACAGTATTAAATAACATTTATTTGTAAACAGTATTAAATAACATTTATCATAGAAATATTCGTCCTTTGACAGGATTCGAACCTGCATCCTATACGGAACCGTCATTTACGCTGACGTGCCTTACCGTCTCGGCCACAAAGGAGCGTTCGGTAGGCAAGGTTGAATTTAATGCTTATAAACTTCAATCTTCCATGAATCTCGTACATTCATAACTGCTTCGAAAGGACGAATATTTTCTATGAAAATTTCTCGGACATTCAGGCCGGTAAATGTTATTTAATACTGTTTATTATAAACAGAGCATTTTACTTAAATACTTGTATCTATAAAAAAAGAACGTTAAACATAATGTCTTTAATAAATAAATTGTCGGACTTTGTCCATTTCTTAATATATATATATATATATATATGTGTGTGTGTGTGTGTGTGTGTGTGTGTGTGTGTGTGTGTGTGTGTGTGTGTGTGTGTAACACTTGATTTGTATATATATATATATGTATATATGTATATATATATATATACAAGTTGACATGTCGTCTAAATTAATCAAAATGAAAATAACATTAGCATCTCATTTTAATAGATATATTTACCAAAATTAGACAAAAATATCTTGGAATATTAAAGAGTAAATCTATTCAAGAAAATCGCCATTGGCTTCAACCTCGGCCTTCAGACCATTTTCGGAATTTCCTGCAACACTTCTGGGCGCTCCCCTAAAGTAAGTCTTCCATAATCCTAGCCTTCAGTTTATCTTTGGTGTCACAAGGAGTTTTGTTGGTCTCTCGATCAACTACACCCCACGCACAATTATCAAAGGGATTGCAGTTTGGGGAGTTAGGTGGCCATATGTAAAGGGGGGATGTGGTCGCAGACATGGTCCGACAGATATGACTGGGTTCTCCTGATTGTGTGAGAGGGTGCAGAGTCCTGTTGCCAGACATAGAGTCTTCCAACAGCCACACTCTTGACCTAGGGAAGCACTAACTCCTCAAGGTACTTGATGTAGGCCTCTGTGTTAAATTTGTGGCCCTCTGGTAACATGAATGAAGGCATAACGTCGCCATCACTAGTGATTACTCCAAACACGTTCGTAATCACAATTAGACTCATCCAACTCATTACAAATCCTCTACACTGTCCGCATATTGACATCCAAACACTCGGAAATGTACTTATTGCAGCTTCCGGTGCGAATGTCAAGCAGTACAACAAGCCGTTTCCAAATTCCTGGCGGAGTGAATTGCGTCATGTGCTATTTTTCTCACAGACGGTGCTCAATTGACATTACTATACTGTTCAGTCGACACAGTCAAAAACAAACAACGCGCATGCGCGGAATTAAATATACAAAATGGCGACAATATGTATATGTGTGGGTGTGTTATTTGTCTGTTCTATTTTTTATCATTCAAATACGAAAGCAATAAAAAGTAAGGCCAAGTTTCGAAACTTGTATGAGAACTGAAAATGAAAGAACGCCGTGTAGAAAATGTTTTCTAATAAAAGAGATCAAGAGAAACACAGAAAGAAATTATATTCTATGCATCGTGGAAAAACGGAAAATAATTTAATAAACAAAAGGAATTAAATTATTTCTAACTATCGGTTCGATGACGCATTTCTTTTGAAAAAAAAAACGTGAAAAAAAAGCAAATGAACCATCGATCATGGGAGCGTTCAAATTAAACAGGCACCCATTTTAAAAAATCACCCACCGTGAAACAGACTGCTAATGTCTCAATTTGTATGTGTATTATCAATATAATTTTTGTTTTTGATTTTAGAAATGAAAAAGATTTTGATCTATTCGAATTTTCCTTCACATCGTGATCATTATTGATGTTATAATTGACGCGACATTTCGACCAAAGGCACATCTTCAGGTGCCCCTTATTTGTCTCTATATAAAATATGATATAACTCAGAGGAAATAAAACAAAATCAACAAGTTCGCTTTTGCATAATTTTGAAGAAAACATGAATACATCTCGTATACACCCCCACCCTTATATGGATTAAATAGCAACGTATACAAAGCCCTCAAGCCTTGGTTGCTAGCCAGCCTAATAGAAGAATAACTATGTATTAGAAATCATAGAAAAGGCAACGGAAATCTAATCCACATCTTTCCCAAGAAGACAGAACAAATCACATTTAACAAATATTAACATGGGATAACTTAAATTAATGAAAGAGAAATAAGTATTTTGTAGCATTTTCTACGGAAGAAAAACGGTTTTATATCCAAAAAGGAATAATGTAATATTGAAAATATGCAGATAGTTAATGAAAATTGTTCAAGGTTATTTTCTGCAGGTTTGCCACTTTTCTTTTTGTTTATCACGTGACCCGTAGTGTCGTAGGGTCACCATATATTTGCTGCTTCCGCATTAGGAATGGTGTTTCTTGAGCAAGATTGTCTGACGGAGACCAACTCACTCCAGGCCGGTTTTGAATTCAGAGTTTCTTTTTCTCCAAGACGGGTTGCCACCCAAGTCTGTTCTACTATTTACCCATAGCTGGGGGGAGAAGAAGAGGATTCATACCTTTCCCGATGGTATTAGCACGTAATTAAATGTAAGGGATCCGACTAGAATTCAAACTCAGCTCTCCGATCCCTCAGTCCGAGACGCTAACCATTACTCAACCGTGCCTACATTAACGCAAATCTTTAAGCCAAACACGTCCGGAAATATGGTTTTGAAGAGTGTATTCATCTCAGGCAGATCAGCGTAATCGTATAATGTCAACAAGCTAGCCACGTTAATTCAGCTGCGATTGAGTAGCGAGTTCAATCCTCACTTAGTGGCCCATACATACCAAAACTAAGCTATTTTGCTTTAATAATGAGATAGATAGATAGATAGAGAGAGAGAGAGAGAGAGAGAGAGAATATGAACATGTTGAGATAGATAGATAGATTGATAGATAGATAGATAGAATATGAACATGTTTAGATAGATAGATAGATAGATAGATAGAGAGAGAGAGAGAGAGAATATGAACATGTTGAGATAGATTGATAGATAGAATATGAACATGTTTAGATAGATAGAGAGAGAGAGAGAGAGAGAGAGAGAATATGAACATGTTGAGATAGATAGATTGATAGATAGAATATGAACATGTTTAGATGATAGATAGATAGATAGATAGATAGATAGATAGATAGATAGATAGATAGATAGATAAAATATGAACAGATCATTATCATGTGGAGGAGAAAAGCCATCAATTGGGCCCGTTTCCAAAACAACGAACCGTTCGAGACGTTGCTAAACAGACCATGAAATGAAAAGTTGGAAAAGATTAGAAAATCATTTCCAACGGTTGCTGGCCTAACGAGGTTTTCCAACTCTTCGATTTCAGTGATGCGCCCCAAATCTCCAATAAATTTCACCATTCATTTTTGTTCTTACACACACACACACACACACACACACACACACACACACACACAGATAGATAGATAGATAGATAGATAGATAGATATAATAGAGGGCAGAAAGTACAGATATAATACTTTTTAAAGGCTTATTTTACGCCATTTCCAACCTGTCGCCATTGACTTTTGTTACCAGTCGTTCTGCTGCCCTTAGGAGATGAGACTTGTCTTAACATGGCCAGCGACCCGTATGATACGTGTAACGCCTACCTGACTGGCAAACTACTACATTATTCTGTCAACCTGAGAATTAAAGGCAATCGACCATTATTCACTTAGATTCTCTGTTCCATCGGCCAGAATTGCATATATTGTTACCTTTTTTTCTTTACCTTCTGGTTATTGATTTTAGTCATATTTTTTTATTTTCCCATCTCCTCTCTGCATACATATATATATATATATATATATATATATATATATATATATATATATATATATATATATATTAGGTTTAGTGCAAAATAATTTTGGAAGTGTTGTAATATTTTCAAGAAGAAAGTTGATAAACAAAACTAAAAGTATTTACATTATTTATAGTTTGAATAATGTCCTTATCTTGTCTGTTGTTATTATGCCAATATTTAGATCGTTGTGTCTCCTGCCTTCCTTAATTTAAAAAGGATAATAGTATCAACTTTACTCTAAGTTTTAGACTCAAGATAATCCCACGGGACAATAGACTCTTGAATTAAAACCTTAGTTAATGAATTCGGTGATATAGCAATTGTGAGTTCAATATTTCTGAGAATGGGGTGAGCAATAACTGAGCATTACTAAACAAGAACTGCACGAAATATCCTTAGACATAGAGAGCAGAATAAAAAGAGTCTATATAAAGGGCTCAGTTCGAAATTTAATAAATGCTACATAGTTCCACAAGGACCTGATGGAGACCGCAGGGTACAACGGTCGAAACAACAAAAAAGGGGAAAAATAGACCGAGTTTAAATGATAAATCCTCATCCCAAAAAGAAAAAAAACGGAAATGAATCATAACTCAAAATTACATATCTATATACTATCTTAAAAGACGCTCTATTGGGCGACATTTAAGCTAGCTCCTGCGAACAGCTTTTGGGCCTTAATAACAATAGCTAGGGAGGAGTAGATACGATAGGCAACAATAAACTACAGAAGAACTCAAAATTGATCACTGCATTTAAGTATTGCATTAATATTTAAGCTTACCTTTTAAAAGTTCAATGGCAATTCTTTTGCCGCCACTTAATTTAAAAAAAATTGATGTACGTCGGTCCTTACTTTCCGTACAATCAATTACTTTTATTTCATTGGTAACTTTCGCTGGATTGCGCCATTAATTTCGATTATTTCCAAATTTATTTCCAAGTTATAGAAATTGTTATCGTACAAAGAAATTCGTCGAAAAAGTCACGTAAAAAATCGAGTCCGAATTCGCCCCAGAATGTTTTAATTTGCTCAAAGACTTGGCCTGATTCCAAAATGGTAGAAGCGTGACACAGTATATATATTCAGGGTGAGGCAGAGAGGGCGGACGTTTTTGAAATAGCGATTACTTTTCAAAGTATTCATCCTCTCTGCCTCACCATATATATATATATATATATATATATATATATATATATATATATATATATATATATATATATATATATATATATATATTGTCTTGATCATGGCTGAGCTGAAGATTAGGTTAACAGCTTTCCCAACACTAATGTGAATAACCATCAGAATTTTGTAACGGTCGGACCGAGATCTTTTCAGCACTTGCTCATAATGTATGCGTTTATGGTTTTTTTGGGGGGTTGTGGTGGGAAGTGCTTGAAAGCCTCAATCTGTCTTTACTCAACGTTTTATCTGTTTGGAACGAGACATTATTGTTAAGGTTTTTGTCAATGTGCATGGTACAGGGAAAAGTAGTGTCATGCCTTTTCCCAAAGAGATGACAGTACGGTGATTATAAGGAGGCCAGTCGAATACTCCGGTAGTAAATTCCGTTCTCTTTGGCATGTTAGCGTATGCACATGTTTACCTAGCTAGCTAGCTAGCTACATAGATAGATAGATAGATAGATAGATAGATAGATAGATAGATAGATTTCGTCTTCTATTCAAGGGATTTTATTATTTATTGTTCTTTCAACTTAAGGCTTCAGTTTGAATTTTCCATTGTCACCAGTCCCATGATAAATTGTGGTCCTAGAGCCACTGCGTGGTTGAGACCCTGATCAGTTGTCTCCACATATCTGGGTTGGAAATCGGAGTGGCATTCATTTTATGCATAATGTGCTATAGGCATGTAAACCTGACAGTATCCATCCCTCTCCAAGTTAAACTACACATGATGACCTGTAACTTGATAGTTTGTCTTGGTCAAGAAATCATAACCTATGGTTATATCAGTAGAATCCTCCGCCTTGATCGTTCAAGGAAGCTCTCTTTCCAATGAGGCCTTATCATCAGCACATTGGCCGCATCCATAGCTATGGAGCCCCGAATTAACATCTTGATGGATGTCAGTTATCAGTTATCTCCTGTTAATTTCCCTCTGAAAGTTCTCCACTGCCTTAACCGGGTATTGAACTCACACTCTTTGGATCTAACCAACGCCTTTATCCACTGTTTGGAACGAGACATTATTGTTAAGGTTTTTGTCAATGTGCATGGTACAGGGAAAAGTAGTGTCATGCCTTTTCCCAAAGAGATGACAGTACGGTGATTATAAGGAGGCCAGTCGAATACTCCGGTAGTAAATTCCGTTCTCTTTGGCATGTGTCCTTGAGGACATCTATGTATGAATTTTTGGGTATTATAAACCTAAATCCATCAAACATGGCACGTGGAACTAGAACAGTCTATCCCAGTGAGCGAAATAAAGGGTTCAGTTCGAAATTTCAACCACCTGAAGAAGGCCGGAGCGTACAACGGCCGAAACGTTGTGATAAATATGGCGACAAAGATGAGGGCAATAGTCCGAATAATGTAAATAATGTACATAATACCTCATCTCAGAAATATAGACAGACTCCAAAGCGACTTTTGTATCGGTTTTATCAAACACTAGAAGCATGGCCCGGCGTTGCCCGTGCTTGATTAAAAAATCGTACGACTCATACAGCACTGCACGCACTAACCTGTTTCTTCCCGCGCATAGCGCGACCTTAAATTAATCTGCATTTAGGAAATACCCAACCGGAAAAACATTTTTAAGGGTTGACCGATTGTCCATTTGCCCTCTGTTTGGGGGGCGCTCAGAGTTGAAACTTCACATGGTGACTCCCAATGGCCTCCTCATAAATCCGATCGGTTTTCGCTAAAAACCGACATGCGGTTCAGGTGCAATCTGGGCGTATCGGCTTTTGGGTTTTATCGATTTTCTGCGCTGTTTAGGGGTCCGTGGTCATGAAACTTCTGGATAACACTTGTAATGGTAGACTCTAAGAGGGTGTCAAATTTGCTTGAAATGCAATCATTCCTTCTGTAAGCAGAATTTTTTCGATTATCGATTTTTTCGATTATCGATTTTTTCGATTATCGATTTTTTCGATTATCGATTTTTTCGATTATCGGTTTTTTCGGAACCTGAGTCCGAACTGAAAAATCGGGCTGCCTCATGTCCTTAAGGCAGCCATTTGCAAACTTGTGTTGAAAACCGCATCGAAATCGGGTGAGAAATACGGCCTGGGCGAGGTAACAACGCCCACGACAGACACACAGACAGACAACATGAGAAATATAGATAGTAGATATCAACTTTTCTATCATAATTATTTATCTTTCCTGGGTTTTCTTTTGTATTTTCTTGCTGTTGTTTGTCGTTTTTGTTGACGTTTCTTTTACTTTCCTGTAGTTTTATTTTTATTTTCATCTATTCAGAGAATCAAATCTGATCTCTGATGCCGCTGGGAAATATCTTCTTTTTTTGAAGGAGTAGTTCCAAATTTGTCTCCAATTGCGTCGAAACTGAATATGTCTGCCATATTGCTTTTATCATCTTTTAATAGAACTATTTTAAGGAATTATGTTTCTGTGGTTAATTAAGCGAATTATGTTTAATGATTAACGGGTCCCTGAGTACATAAATGACTTAGTAAAATATTTATCTGTAGTTGCGAGCGTTCATTTTACGATTTTGTCACCGTTTTGTATCAGAAATACATTTGAACTGCAAAGAATGTAATTAATCTTCCCCCACTTTCTGAATTCAGAGTTGTCGAACTAGACGGACTGCCAGCCAATTACTCAGCTAATTAATCTATAGATGGCTGGAGAATTAATCGATTCAGGTCTTTCGAAGAGAACGCAATAGAATAAAGCCAGTTACACATTCCTCAACGATAAGCGTCAAACATCAAAAGGAAGTCTAGATGTTTGAAGTGGAAATATTAATGCAACAAATTTAAAATCATTTATCAAGAATATAATTACTATTAGCGATAAAATTCCGCTACGGAAAGATTTCCTTAACCTTCGTTTAAAGAATCCTGGATTTTGGACAAAGAATCTCTGTGGGGCAATAATTGGACAATAACAAATAAGGACTAGACAAGATATCCCGAGGCAGGGTCATCGGAAAGAGAAAAATCTACCCCTATAGTGTAAGGGCCTATTCAAAATTCCCTGAAGTTTTGCTAAATCAACAAGCACATTAAGAAAGTCGGGGCACACATAACAACAGCAAGCATGATGATTCTATGTAAATAATTTAAATAATATCTCCTCATCCAAGAATTTAAAACCGAAAAAATGTCTGTAGATACCTAATTAAATCTTCAACTACATAAGTTTTAGCAGTCAGTGGAGTATAGATTTTGTCGTAATGCATTATTAGAATAAAATATGTCAAGGCGAATATGTGTCTGTATATATATATATATATATATATATATATATATATTATCTCATGCAAGGCAATAAAGCCACTAAGTCACAATGGGTTACAGGATTTTGAAGAATTAGCAACAGAAACATTAATAAAGAGCGGGAAGAGAAAAGATTAATCAGGAGGACAGTAGATAGCGATTGACGTTGCATTTAAATTTTTGCAGATTAAAGTTGGCTAGAGAGCATGAAGCCGGAAGGGAGGTCCACAAATGAGAAGTACGAGAAACGAAACAGTTTGCATTGAACCCACGGATACATCTAGCCAGCTCAACCGTGAATTGATGAGATCATGACGCCAGTCTAATACTGCGATTAAATTCATAACGTCTAGGCATCATATCGAAAAGCGATATTTATTCTGCTTATGTACAGAAAATGTGGCCTTCTTCTGTCTTAACGTTAAATTTAGCTAGCCACAACCACTTACCCAAATATTCCTTACACCAAAACAACGCATTCTTACTTACCTTTTGTTGTGGTGTCCTCCCTCTAAAGAGTCTATGTTGAACTCTTCCGCTTACTATAAGATTGGGCGGAGAGAAGGCCTTGGGGGAACATTCAAATAGATCTGTTCGAACTGTGCTGTCAAACTCTCTCCCTTGAGCAGAGAGGAACCCGGACGAAGCTGTGCCGAAGGGCAAAGTTTCGTCCAGGGAGGTAGACAGGCCTTGAACCCGTTTATACGGGTTCAAGGGGAATATTTTTGGCCGAGCCTACCGGTTCGGAGAACCCACGCTTAACCAGCCTTGTTCCACATACGACCCACGTGGGGAGGGGCGTTAAATATAACGGTGGTATAAACTGTTCAACTTTCGAACTCTCTGCCTTGAGGAGAGAGGAACCCGGACGGAGCTGTGCCGAAGGGCAAAGTTTTGTCCGGGAAGGTAGACAAGCCCGGACCCGCTTATGCGGGTATACGGGAATATTTTGGGCCGAGCCTACGGGGCTCGGAGAACCTACGGCAAACTCGGCCTTGTGCCACATAGATCCCTCGTCGGTGGGGGCTGTTAAATATTAACAGTCGAATAGATTGAACGCTGGGTCAACCGACACACACTCACTAGTCGTGAAATACTCTTCTGTTGTACTTACTGTTTAATATATTAAATATCTGTAACACTTGTTTTGTTATTTCTTTCACCATTTACTTCGTCACAACGCTTTTCTTACTACATCCACCATAATACCGCATTGTCTCCAAGAAAGTCTTAACTAAACCACATATGTACAATTCATTGTCTGGGGTGGAAAATAAAACAACAATTTAAAAACAAGCCCTAATACGTATTTACAATATGAAAACAATCTAGTGAAGAGGCCATCCGAACATTTGCCATGAAGGTATTTATAGAAAAGACACAGGGAAGCTACATTACGACTGTGGGAAAGTGACTGGATACTGCTACGCTGTTACATAAGAATAAATTGTCACTGCCGACACTTGAGTTTGCACATAGACCGCCAGCAAGAAAACACAGGCGATCCCATAATTGAATTAAGTGGATCACGTGACCATAGAGGAAACGCATCAGTAGAACGTATCGTGCCGACTAACGATCGCTATTTCTAGTCTATCCTCTATTACTATTCGGATCGCCATTTCTAGTTTATCCTCTATTACTAAACGGACCGCTATTCTCTACTGTATTCACTATAATATTTCTCTATCCAGATCACTGTACGATGGCTACTATTTGAGCAAGTATTATCGATCAAGTGCTATTAGTACGAAGGCGTCTGACACAAATATTGTTAAACGGCGTACTATAGGTTGTATCTGCGATTACAAAGTCTCTACTAAAACGAGCATTACAAAAGTGACAACGAGTATTCGTTGACATTACAAAAGTGTCAAAAGAGTGTTTCTTGACATCACAAAATATGCTAATACTCTCGAAAAGTCTTAAACGAGAAATTAAAATTTTGGCGCATGTTCCGCAACATTACGTTAGGTCCTATAAATATGTACTTACAACTTGGAACTAAGAATGTTTAACAAGAGATACAGCATTAATACAAACATGGATACACGCCATTTTACTTAAGAACAGTCGCCTTTATTATATTTGGAAAGAATGATCGAAACAGGAATCTGATGAAACCTATGTTAATGCTACAAAAGGCACATGAAAGAGAAAGAATTGTTGAAAAATACAAAAGAAAGAAAACCTAGATCGCCTACGTCATAAAGGAACATACCGCAGAGAGAGAGAGAGAGAGAGAGAGAGAGAGAGAGAGAAAAGGAGAGAGAGACTTATACATACTAGTTTCTAAAACTTTTAAAGTGATCATCCATTCCAAATATAAATATCGCTAGTCGAAAATTAAAACAAAAAATTATTATTTTAAATCTTTAATAATGTTAAAATATTATTTTTCGGATAAAATAATATTATTTTCGGATACACTTTTTATGAAGACACCGGTAAAAAAAGTTTAAAAAATAAAAATTAAAAAAAAAACCTGTAGTTTTGATGACGAACTAAGTACACGGTGCCGGTGATGAAGTGAGTAGGTGTTGTTTTTAGTTATCGAATAAGAAGACATTTACACGTGCTTTCGGTGGGAGTGGAGGATTGAATGCGTCAAAGAAAAGTTAGACTTGCAATGTGGCCCAGGAGCAGGCGAAACCCGATTCTTCAGGGATAATGTTTCTCAAGAACGTTACAGAAAACGGCGGGTGGGTAGACATTTGCCAAAAATGTCACAAAAATATGAAAAAAACAATAAAAGTCGAGGGTAGGGTGGAAATAGAACAGATGCATTAAAAGCGGGAAACGAACATTTTAGCGGCATAGGATTTTATTTGATGTGGGAGGAATTTCTTTTTTTTTTTTTTTCATTCTTTTTTGGGATTTTTTATCATTAAATTCTTAATGTTGACGCAATTTCCCGATAGCAAGGGGTTTTGATTGATTCTCAATATAACCTAAGAGGTTTGAAGAACTGAGAAAAAAAAATGCTAAAGTTCAATTTTAAAAGAAGTCTTCTATATAATAGATATTGACAACGTTAGAGTTTTATCATTTTGGGGTCTTCGTTTCTCGCTGAAAATATTAAGCGGGTTGGGGTTTTTTTAACGACATGACAACCTGTGTGGTTATTTGGCATCGGAAATCGATCATATGTTTTCTCTAAGCAATTATTTAGTTCAAAGAGCGATATATATCGGCCGTTTATGATTGGGAATGTAATAATTTACCTGATTCATATAAAGATAAATATTCGTAGTTTATATTTGAGTCGATAAGCATTTACTTAGGTTTGGCATAAGGAAATATTGGTCGTTTTGATTCTAGACTGTGTGGTAATAAAATAAGCACATCCCATCCCCCCTGTCTGTAACCAACCATCACAATAAAATAATCTTTCAGAACTAAAGTCAAATAAAGCTTCATTAGCTTCTACTTCGATTATATTACAGACTCTATGCTTGTATTTGGTTCAGAATAGGAAAATATTGTTTCTTATATTTAAGTCGATAAGCATTAAGAATTTCTGTGAGTAGGTAAATACAGATAGTTTATATATGTGCCTGTAGTCATTTAAGTTTTTTTTTTTTTTTTTAATCATTAGGAAAGTTTTGTGACGTACGGTGGCCGTTAATAATTAAGTATAACTGAAGACTTCAATGTTAAAATAAAACAATATTTAATTACAACCGCAAATAAATACTTAACCTGACCAAAGAAGTAAAAGTCAACCAAAGATAATTAACCATTTCAGTGAATACATTTTTAGTTGCGCGACTCGGTTTAACGTCTGGTTATTCCTAAAACAAAATCCAAATCATCGACGCACTATAATTCACACTAATTCAACTGGATAATTCCACTCAATCATTACTCCAGTTATGTATACACCTGGGGAAAACATATATTCATAAATCCAGAGTGTCAGGTTCGAACATTGGTGTTGGTAGTTAGTCATCTTCCTATATGACAAGTTGGCAGTTTATTCGATTGACTCGTGAGAAAAGAGTTTGTTTTTTACATTCTATTTATTAGGAAAGTTATTCACATCAAGCTATTATCCTGTTATCAGGAAAATATAAAATCGAAAAAAAAGTAATTTATTGATTTGTGCGGTATGTTTTTTGATCTAAAGAACATATTGAAAAAGAGACATTCAGTGCAGGAACTTGCCCAAATCTACGAGGAATCATATACCGGAAATTTCTAAAAAGAAAAAAGAAAAAAAAAAGACAACGTGAGGATTGAATACAGAAAAAGCAAGAACATATGATTTTGGAAGTACGTCACAAAACTTTCCTAATGATTAAAAAAAACCTCTTTGCTTATTAGTCAATCGAATAAACTGCTAACTACAATAAAAAATTTCAATTAACGACAATAAACTACATCTGCGTCCAACAGCATGGCCTCTGATCAAGAGGCTTTGAGGAGTGTGGAACCTCCTCTTAATTGCTGGTGTTCCCAGGTCCAACCTGACCCATGGTGGTAGCACCTGTTAGGGTCTCGGCTATGGGCAAATAGTTAACCCCTGAAACTGAGGTAAAAAGCATTATTAAAGTGTAAAAATAGGTTTTAATACCAGAAATACTTTGTAAAAATTATTGTCAGAAACAATTTTGTGAAGAAAAAATAAATATTACCAGAAATATGTTTTTTAAAAAAACTATTACCGGCAATGTTTTTTAAAGAAATAATATTACCAGGTATACTCTGTGCCTCTGACTTCCTGAAACTGTGAAGGATCAAGTCTCAGATTAACATATACTAATTGTTGCTACTAAACACATTTTTCTATTTACTTGATACTAAATTGCCATTTGGCACATGTGTCAGGAAGATGAAATATATATAAGTGAGGTTTGAGAAGGAAAAGCGAAGACATAAATCTGGGAAGTACGTCTCAAAACTTTCCTAATGATTGAAAATAAAAAAAAACTCTTTGCCTATTAGTCAATCGAATAAACTGCTAAGTACAATAAAATTTCAATTAACGACTATAAATGGTGACAAATTTTAGTTAGAAAGTATTTAACATGAAGATGTACTGGGCTTAGCCCAGTGAAATGACTAAATTTGACAAACGCTGGTTTATGAAGTCTACTAACTTAAAGCTTTATGCACTTCCAGTTTGTCCTTTAGCAGAATGCGGTCTTGTATCGCTTGAGATTCAAACCTAATACGAGTATATGTATGCGGGTGAGATAACCAACATCAGTTTTGGTGAAGGAAATTCTCCTATAATTTAAACTGCTATAAATCCTGTTGGGTAGATGAAGCGGCTTATCAAAGGGACCCTTTCGTCGATGACTCCCCAGGCCGAGGCCAAAAAATCTGCTACTGGTAGAGAAAGGTCTAGTCAGTCACATAAGCTCTCAACAGCAACAGAAAAGTTGACTAAAACATCTAGAAACATTTTAAAAAGTTAAATGGAACAAATCAGCATCTAGTTATGATCAGATTATTTTAGGACAAATCAACATTTAGTTATGTTCAGATTATTTTAGGACAAATCAACGTCTAGTTATGATCAGATGATTTTAGGAGAAATTAACATCCTGTTTTGATCAGATTATTTTAGGACAAATCAGCATCTAGTTATGATCAGATTATTTTATGATAAAACATCTATTTATGATCACATTATTTTAGGACAAATCAACGTCTAGTTATGATCAGATGATTTTAGGAGAAATTAACATCCTGTTTTGAACAGATTATTTTAGGACAAATCAGCATCTAGATATCATCAGATTATTTTAGGACAAATCAATATCTAGTAATGATAAGATTATTTTAGGACAAATCAACATATAGTTATGATCAGATTATTTTAGGAGAAATCAACATCCTGTTTTGATCAGATTATTTTAGGACAAATCAACAACTAGTTATGATCAAATTATTTAAGAGGGCATTTAATTTCAGAACAATATAAAATGTTTGTTTTGAAGAGGTTCGTGCCTCGACTGTATTGCAAGATGCAACTTCTAATTGAACCAGCCTAATGGAGAACAGACAATGTGCAGTGGGAATTGCAACACGCAGATCGTTAGATAATGAAATAGACATATCTTACAACAGTCGAAAAAATGAAAATTGTCCATATAATTGTTAATGGCTGTAAAATCCGAGTGATATCCACGAATAAAAACTGTTGTGTTCGAAAAAATAACTTCTAAAGTTAGTCAACTGAACTTTGTGTAGTAGAAAAATAAACAATTGTACATTACTGGTGATTTTAATTGTACGTCTGATATTTTAAAGGCAATTATTTTTTAGATATGATGGAAATCAATGTCACCCTTTGGATTAGAAGCCTCAAAAAGTAATAGATAACTCTTGTTAAATGTTTGTCTATCAAAAAGAAATTCTATCCTAATTACATGGTTTGTCTCAATCCCATAAAATATCAGATCACATGACATAGCCCAGATTTGCGGAATTCATCGAGCCGGGCTCATGTCTTGGGCTAATTGTGACAAATATTAGCGTATACAACACCTAATTTAAATCTGATCACAAAGCTTCTTGTTACAATACTGCCAACACTAATCAGCACAATAACATGTTCCAACCTCCATGAACAACAAAAGTCAACTAGGTGTAACATGTAAGCCTTTAAAAATGAAAATGCCTGAGTCGAATTCTGTGAAGAAAATAGTGTTTAAATTGGTGTCCCTAAATATTGATCAAAACAGAGAAATCAAATAATATAACTGCATCTTCACTAGACGAAGTACGTGCGGCCATTTTCCCGAATAATTAGACGAATAAACATACACCTTTACAACGATAATCACCATTTGAATAGATTGATAGAAGAAAGAAAGAAACAGATGGGAAAGAAAAATGGAAGGTTGACAATTAAAAAACAATTATGAAAGAAAATGTAAAGAAAATATAGTTAATGTTCTGAGAAACCATTATCTTTGCAAAATTGGAAACTAAATTAATGAAGCCAAATGACTTAGATTATGTGTTGAAATGCGAAGAAAACTGAAACCATATACAATAGAAATCAAAACAGAAGAAATGTCCTGGTCTCAAAAACAATTCTAGCCGAATTTCACACAGAGTCACATTAAGCTGAAGATGTTAACGAAATCAAAATAGGCACTAGTAAATAATCAAGCATTATAAATTTAGTTTCGAAATGAAAAAATAACGAAACTATTGATAAGGAAGTCACGATAGTGATGAACAGCTAATGAATGATAAGGTATCATTTGATAAAAGCATATCTTCTCACCGAATTTAAAAACAAATTCCTTGATTTCATTAAAATAA